AACAACAAACAATAAATATAAAAGAGATTTTTAGAGAAAGTAACCTCAAATCAGAATGTAGCTTCCAAAAGTCAAAAATGCCTGGGGCACAGGAAGCGAGGGCAAAAGCATCTGGTGAACATGGTAAAAACTGTGCCTGGAAATATGAACGCACTGATATTAGCGATCACTGTAGTGTCTAAATAGGACTTCATAAATGCCACAGGCTGCTGTTTTCTTTATTGGGGGTATGGCACAACAAAAAGCACAGCATAAGCCATGGCATCATCCTCAAATTTAGCTTTGTATTAATAATATTTGATCTTGAAAACACTGGCAACAGTATAGATGTAAGCCCATTCCTTGGAGGTCACACATGCTAGCTGCTCATGGTTGACAGACAACAGAATGTGGCTACTGTGTGGCTAAAGTAATACATGGGTATAGGCCTGTTCTTTAGCAGTCATCTCACAGATGTTTTGATGGATGGAGAAGGAATGGATATCCACTCAAGAAAGGACAGATCAAGACTAAATGACCTAAAAACTTTTCCCAGTAATTCATCCAGTATTGTTTACTTGCACATCCCTAAATCTCCTTAGGCTGATTGAGAGCCGTAGGAGCTAAAGCACTCACCCATCTTAGGCCCAGACATTCGTGACTGTATTATTGTTTTTTTGTCCAATCCTCCAGCAGCCAGGAATAACTCCAAAAGAGGAGCTTGACAGAGTGAATCCAACTTATTTTCAATCTGGTGTCAGGAAGCAGTCTGTTGCCCTGATATGAAGATTTCTGTCTGGCTCAAGCGATTACAATGACAGAAATGTAAATTATGTTTTTTTTTTTCTCCTTTTGAAGCTATCTCTGAGCAGGGCTCTGACCATGCAGAGAATGGAAGAATTAAGGGTGGTGATGTTCAAATCGTAGAAATCGATTTCCATCAGAATAGAACGAATGTCACTCTCAGGGGGGCTCAGACAGCCTGTGCTTTGAGGACTAGGAGGATAAAACACTGAAAGAGGCCGAAGACATCTCAAATGAACAGCGGCTGTCAGCACAGAAGTCCACAGTCTACTTCGTATCCTGCCCATCTGGTATTAGTGATAGTGGAACTCCTCTAACCTGCTGAGCTGTGAAATAAACAAAATTTGCATGGTTTAATACCAAAATAAATGTCTCATTAATATGCTAAAGTGACATGAAAAGATCGTTCTTCATCATCAGTGTACATAGAAATCAGTTTGTTATTGCTAATTATTACATCTACAATCATGGTAAGAAAAATAAAGGAAACTCTCTTTAAATTCCAGTGTAGTAAATATAATCTGTCTGCCAGTACTGCTTCCATGGGAATGAAGATAGTAAGTAGCAGACAGGTGCTGATAATCAAATGCACTTAAGTCATAAGAAAGCGTGACCACCTCTTTGGCAGTTTTCTGACCTGAAGTATTCAAGTGAATTAGCACAGTGCCAAGGAGGAAAGACATCAGCAACAATCTTAAAGAAGCAACTGTTGCTCCCCATCAATCTGGAAAGGGTTATGGGGCCATTTCCAAACAATTTGAAGTCTATCATTCTGCAGTGAGAAAGATTATTCACAAGTGGAAAACATGACACATTCATGACAGCTACCAATCTTTTCAGGAATGGATGTGCCAGCAAATTCATCCCAAGGTCAGACTGTGCAATGCTCAGAAAACCTGAAAAAAAGCCAAAGTCTACATCTCAGACTCTACAAGCATCAGTCAGCATCTTAAATGTTAAAGTTCATGGTAGAACAATCAGCAAACGGCACAAGTGTGGCTCTTCTCTCTAAACAGAACATGGCAGCAGTGCTTAGGTTTGCAAAGTCTGAACAAACCACAAAACGTCTAAAACAATGTATTTTGGATAGATGAGACCAAAAAGGTGGCGTTTGGATAGAAGAAAGCCAAACACAGCATATCAGCACAAACACCTCGGTGGTGGAAGGGTGAAGATTTAGGCTTGGTTTGCAGCAACAGGCCCTGGAGACCTTGTAGTCATTGAGTCAACCACAAGCTTCTCTGCATAATAAAATATTCTAAAGTCACATGTGAGGTCATCTGTCTGACAGCTCAAGCTTGGGTCACGCAACAGAAGAATAATCTCAAACACAGCAGCAAATCTACAACAGAATTACTGAAAAAGAAAAGAACCAAGGCGTTGCAATGGTCCAGCCAAAGTCCAGACCTCAAACTGAGAGAAATGCTCTAGCTCAGGGGTGGCCAACTCCAGGCCTCGAGAGCCGCTGTCCTGCAGGTTTCAGATATGACCCTGGGTGAACACACCTGAATCAAATGATTAGTTCATTATCAGGCCTCTGGAGAACTTCAAGACATGTTGAGGAGGTAATTTAGCCATTATATCAGCTGTGATGGATCAAGGACACATCTAAAACCTGCAGGACACCGGCTCTCGAGGCCCGGAGTTGGCCACCCCTGCTCTAGCTGGACCAAAAGACAGCTGTGCATAAATGCCCACAAACCTCAATGAACTGAAGCAGCCTTGTAATACAGGTGAGCCAAAATGTCTTTGTTACAATGTGAGAGACATATAGTTAATCCAGAAATTATAACTTCAAGTTACAGTTCAACAAGCTATTAAATGATTTGCTATACTTAGTTTTCTTCTGCATTTTGGCTCAGTGTAATATATCAGGTGTTGTTGTCCATCTGAGGTTGCATTTACCTAATTTTAAGACTGGGTAAGGACCAGGTGACCTTTTATTAACTGAATTGCCAGAAGGTGTACTGTCATTTCACCATGACTGTATGTTCTAATTATTACAACTGTTATTCATTAAAAATAACACATTTCTGCAAGAGTACTCTGAGCTTTCCTGACAAATCAAAGTAATGTCAGTAAGCCTGTAAAGTTGGATCACTTTTGTAGTCCAGGTGTCATGAAAGCGAGACGCTTATTAAGAAGAAAGCTGTTCATGTTACTATTAGTCAATCTCAAAAGCAACCTTCAAAGAGATAATGAATTTAACTTTCAGTAACATAGATAAGAGCAGCAGTGTGATGTAAAGAGAAAAAAAAGTTAGGATAAAATGGGCAAAATATTAAAATACTGCATTCGTTCCAGATTCAATATCTTTTGATGTTTTTTAGTTATTTGAATGGCGTATGAAAGCAAAAATCAAAGATGCTATGTGCTGTTTTGTTCAGTTAGCAGTTCTGATGCACATTGCATAAGCTAGGACACCAGCAACCACCCAGGTAATTACCATACAAAAGAGTTTCAATATAAGGCTATGTCTTATATTTTTCTTTAAGTTACATTCACACTGAGAAACCTGGACACCACATAAAACATTGAAAAAAGGCAAAGATACGTCTGTCTGATTCTGCTTTACTTTCTGGGTGATTATTGATTATCTGTTTCTTTGCTATGTGGCTATAATAAAGGTTTGCAATTACCTTGTCCTCCAGAGGAAACCATATCTGTTAAGCAGCATAAACATAACACCGCTAACCATTAATTGCATTAAGGAGTGTTTTACTTCTCACCACCCGAAAGGGTAAATTATCTCTTAGACTAAGTTTTATTTTTAGTATGCACACTTTAAAGCATGTCAGCTCTTCGCCTTGCCCTTGGTATGGTTAAGGTCCTTGCTTGACCACTTGAGATGAATCGCTTTCAAGTGACATTTTGAGTAAGATCAACTTACTTCCATGGTCATAGGCAAAGCACACCATTAGCATTCAGCACATACGCACTCTGGTTCTAACTGCAAGCCCTTCACTCTACAACTGCTACGTGACCACATAAGATGAATACAAACTGTCCTTCGCTAACATTAAAGTGAATGATTGTGACTCCCATTGGAAGTACTCCTCGGTTTTGGACATTTCAATGCTGATGGCCTTTGCATACTGCACATCCACTGGTTTCTCTCGGGTACAGATCAAAATGTGTCTTATGTCCACTGGAGAGTTTAAGGAAAAGGTTCCTTGGGTAGCATGATTAAAGAGGAAAGGATCACAGGCAGAGATATGTATGTTAAAGACACATAGAGGCTACCTCCCAGGAAATAAACAATAAAATAATTTATTTATTTTTGAATGTCTAATGAATGCAGAAACAAACTTTACTCAGAGCACCATATTTTGGGCTGTCCTGATTTTCCCCACAGACAAAATGTCCATTGACAGTGACATTGGGCCAAAATGCAGACATTTTTCTCAGTCGTGCCATGTCAAAGTGACAGAAATCGACTCAGGAATTGAGTAATGGGAAAGAAATGTCGATAGTTTCTTTCTTGATGAGGTGGCAAGTGAAAATCCTGAGTCTTCCTTTACACAGTAGGAAAAGATTTAAAGTAGAATCTCTAAATTGACGTTAGACTGTAAAGTTCTCATATCGACCCATCCACTGTACTTTCCAGTCTGCACGGGTGTACAACATCTCCTCTAAGAGGACTTATTTGATATTACACACTAGACGTAACGGAATCGTGTTTTCGTCAATGACCGTAGATTTTTATACAGTCATTAGTTTTCTAAACCACCCAAGGCATTTTATTTTATATGTTAAATCTAATTTAAAGACTGGAATGGAATTCAAAACAACATTTTTATCTATATGAAAAGCGGAGATTTAAATAAAATAAGATGATACGTGACAAACGTTCATTAGAAACTTACTTGCAATATAACTTACTTGTGATTTTTGCCGCTCTTCAAAGAGCGAATCGGACATTGAGTTATAGTATAGTGTAGTGTGACTTAAACGTTATTTACTTCTGTATTTTTTTTTATTATTATTAATTTATTTATGTCTGTGAAGTTTCTCAGTCATCCAGGTCATCGTAGTCAAAGGAGCTTGCAAAGAAAAGCGTCTGGACTTCTTTACTAATTTATTTACTTTACTTTATTACTTTTTTTATTTACTTTATTAATTTATTTACTTTTTCTGCGTTGGAATTTTTTCCGGGTTGGAACCATTATTTTTACACTTTTTATCCGCCGGCGAACTGAATAGGTAGGACGTTCAGAGGCGTCACTTCCGCTCCACGTGAAAGGCTCCTTATAGTCCATGTGAGGAGCACTGTATATCCGAGGCGTATTGTTTTACGTTTTAACATTGATAGTTCACATATAGTCATCTCATGGTTATCGACAGCAAGACTATGGCGTCCGTAGAGGAGGAAGCGCTGCTCGGTCAGGATTCAGAGGAGGAAAACAGTGAATTATCGGACGATGAGGTCAGTTTCCTAACATGCTAGCATCGTTAGCTAACCACATTCCTGTTAAGAATTAAGGTTTTAAACGTCACTGTGCCTGCTGTTTATAAAGTTAATCAAACAAACAGAGACCTGGTACTATTATCAGTATCAGAATCTTTATTTTTCTAATCACGCTTTTTAGATAACAGGAAAATTCACGTTTAGTAGGACCGTGTAGTCTTGCTGTAGCAAGTGGTGGTTTAGATAAGTCAGAGTTAATATTATTCATCTTCATTTCATTTCCCAGCTGCAAGAAGCCTTCGCAGCGGGGTTGTTGAAGCCTGGGATGAACGTCCTGGTGGATAAACCCAAAACGTTCGTCAACAATGTGGTGAGTGGCATCTCACATCTTCTGTTAGTAGCAAGTTATGCTACACAGGGATGATCAACGTATTATAAACAACCATACCACTGTAATAGTTTTAAAGCAGCAATGGAACAGTTCTCGAAATTCCCTGTAAAGTGAATAATATTGTTAATTGTTGTACCTTTATTGCTCCTATGTTGTCACACAGGAGGGGTTGAAACAGTGTCTTGCTGATTTTCGTAAAGATCTTCCCTGGGTAGAGAGATTGGATCTGACCAACCTACCAGCTGCAAATATCATTTCTCAAGCTGAAGAGAAAGCTTCAGCGCCAGCCGCTGGGGAACTGGATGCTGATGACGATTTCCAGAGGGAGATGTTCTTGTAAGTGACCGTTAATTCAGCTCAGTTTTATTTATATAGTGCCTGCTCATAAGACAGAACCAGGGTTGGGGAGGGGCAGCCATCTGCTGCAACTGGTTGGTGGTAAGAGAAAAAGAAAAGGAAGCAGAGAGAGATTGGACGATAGGCTAAAAAGCATCACATATCCTTTTATTTTGTAACCACACTAATATAGTTTCGTTACGAGTCAGACAAAGAAGTCAATTTTTTCAGCTAAAGAGTTACAAACATGCATACAGTGTTGAATGTTTTAGAGAAAAGACTAAAAAACATGCTGGAAAAATACAACACAGCTACAAAGAGCCCATTCCAATTACTTTGTGTTTTTTGTTTATTTACAGCTACCGTCAAGCTCAGGCTACAGTCCTCGAGGCACTGCCACTCCTAAACAGGCACAGCATAGCCACCAAGAGGCCCGAAGACTACTTTGCAGAGATGGCCAAATCTGATCAGCACATGCAGAAGGTGAGCCTGGTCTCCTATATGATGATGCAGGTTCAGTTTTGACAAATATGTTTAAAGCTCTAACTGTATTTCATTACATTAAACCGCCAAAGCATCAGCTGTTTGCTTTTTGTTCCATAACACCTGAAACAACATCACTGTAATTAAGTATTAGTTCTCACCCATATAGTAAAGTAATTAACATTTCTTTGCACATACTGGTTCAGGACCTGAGTTTAGTTCTTTTGTTCTGTCGGGCCTAAATTCACATACTTTTTCATTTGTTGGTCTGTTCAGATCAGGAAAAAGCTGATCTCAAAGCAGATGATTATGGAGAGGTCAGAAAAGGCCAAGAAACTGCGTGAGCAAAGGAAGTTTGGCAAAAAGGTTGGTGACTGAGTTCAGAAATTCTTCTTAACACCTGTAAGTGTTACATGTGTATGATACTTTGACTATACATGGCTAAAAGACTAACTCTAATTTTGAATTTTTTGCCAGGTCCAAATAGAAGTGATCCAGAAGAGACAGCAGGAGAAGAAGGCCATGATGTCCGCTGTAAAGAAATACCAGAAAGGTGGGTGTTTACAAGTGTAGCATGGACGTTATTTCCTTATTTCTATTATTGTTTTGTCACTACACCAATTTGGACACGTCACTTATTGAGCACTGTGAACAACATCTTCTCTTTCTAGGAATGACCGACAAACTGGAATTCTTGGAAGGTGACCAGAAGATGAATAAAGAATCTTCTCAGGGCTCAAAGAAAGCAGTGAACAAAAAGGGGTAAGTTTGAACTTCTCAGCAGTGCACACAGCAGTCATTGCTTTTTTCTTTTTGCTCCCACTTCAGATTTGTGGCATTTTTACAATGAAACTCTTATTTATTTATTTTTTCCACAGGCCTAGCGCTAAGAGAAAATTCAAGGACCAGAAGTTTGGCTTTGGAGGCAAAAAGAGTGGAAAGAAGTGGAACACCAAGGAAAGCTACAACGATGTTTCCGGTTTCCGTGCCAAAATAGCTCACGGCAAGGGAGGGAAGAAGGGGAAAGGAGGAAAACAAAATGTGAGTCTCTCACACACATGGTTATCTATTGACTGTTTTATTCAAATGAGTAAATAAGAAAACAAATAATTTCTTTCTCTTTGACTTCCAGAAGCGTCCAGGCAAGTCTGTGCGCAAGAAGATGAAGAATCGCTCTTAGAGACTGGCGGGCTGCTCAGCAGACTGGACTTTGCACTCTGCTTTTTGGCAGGATTTGCCTTAAGGGACTATGAGCTCTTCTTCTACACTTTTTGGTACAATATACCTTTCGTACATGCATCTGGATTGATATGGAGGTCCATATTAATCATATTCAAACCACAGATGGACTGAGTCCGATCACACAGCTGGGGAAGCTATTCAAAGGGCCTGTAAAGCCAAGAATGGACTGCACACAGCTCCAAAATACAGAACTTTCCTAAGGTTGAGAAGGACAATGTTATTTGCTGCAGATACCCTGATATTTGCATCTGGCTGCAGTTGTCCCTACCCTAAGGTGGTTTTAGATCCACTCTCTGTGATTACACCTCCGTGTCTCCACCTTCTCAATGACACAGTGTTCTCCTGAGGTTTGTGTGTTCTGTTTTACTTTTCTCACTCAGCTTTTTGACTCGTTGATTCTCTCCCATGTTACATGACATTTTATAATATTGAGCAGCTGTCAGTTTTGCCCTTTTCCATTCATTAGTATGATTAGCATGTGATGGGCGTGTGTGTTTTGTTACAGACCTGTGCAAATGTTCCCCCCAAGTGTTTCTCTAAGAAGGGTCAGCTTCTGTGCTGACACCTGCATGATTGTTTGATGAACAAATACATTTCAGTAGGCATTCAGTTTCTATTCTCTCTCTTTTATGTGTGTGTGTGTGTGTGTGTGTGTGTGTGTGTGTGTGTGTGTGTGTGGGGGGGGGGGGGGGGGGGGGGGGGGGTTAATTTTGTGTTCTTTGGCCAAATTCATGGTGTTTGGTGACGTCTGTCATAAATCGGAAGAAATTGAATCTGGTGTCTTGGCGGGACTCCGGGACCTGGTGGAAAATAAATCAACAGAGTTAAGGTGGATGCGCGATTACATCAGCCTACTGGTGTTGTTTACTGTAAAAAAGGAAAACAATTTTCAAATATCAAAATGGCATGAGTAAATGATAAACAAATATCTGTATTGTGTTATTCTAGGCATCATTGTCAGCCCAGGAATTTAAAATAAGTGTTTCCCTAATTAAAAGAGGAATGTTTGGACATGTTAACAATGGTGTTCCCAATTTTCAAGTTATTCCACCAATAATTGTCGTTTACATTAGGCTGTGACAGCGGCTTCTTCCCTGAAATATGTTTTTGGGTGTCGCACCATTTGCTGCAGACATTAAATTAAACTAAACACATTAAATATCCCAGCTGTGTCCCAGCCATTTCTACTCGAGTTTGATCTCCCACACCAGACTAAACACTGAGAAAGTATGGGGGGGCAGATTCTTCAAAGTTTACACAAGCGGGGTTTCATGACGTCTTCATAGTAGTGTTGGGGTTGTTAGTGTTAATGTTTCACACATTTAAGCTACAGTTTGTTCCAAAGTCCATTAACAGAGAGTTTTACTCACCAGTGGAGTCGACATCCATCCTATCTCCTGGCTCTCAGTGAGTGGCATAGAATACTTCTTGGTAGGAACTTCGTGGGCCTTGCGGAAAGCCTTGATGAAATCCTCTGGAGGCCAAAAAAATCAAATTATAAAACCAACTTGTTTAAAAACAAATTTATATAAATGGAATAGATGGATAGAATATTTCTCATATTTGATCTCAATGGAAATTTTACCGTCCTCTGGAATCACTTCTGTCGTTCTCCTACACATGGGTTTGTCTGGCAGTACATGCACTGTAACACAGCACACACACACACACACACACACACATAAGAAAAGGAGGTATACAGTACAACAATTATACAGAGCTCTACAAGAGAGGACCAAACTGCCGTGAAATGCACAGCACTCGTGCTTTTCAGTGTCTGGCTCTTCCTAACACTGAATCATAGTGTAACCTTGCTTGCAAGCACTGCTAAAGTGCTGGGGGCCCTGAATTTGGTCCCCTAATCGCAGTGAAATTCAAAAGCCCTTTGAAGGAAAAAAAAAAAACCCTGCCCAGTCACACTTTTGAGTAAGTGATAGTTCTTATTTTTATCATATTTTTGATGTGAGGGAGAAACGGAGCAAGAGGGGAGATTAGCTTACTTACATTTCCTGTGGGGGTTGATGCTGAACTCCGTGTGGAGCTTCTGGTGTCTTTGCTCTTTCCGGACCCGCTCGGCGTGAATCGCGTCCCGATGGACCAAATTCAGTTTATCTTTATCGGCCATGTTGAGAGAAAAATAAAAACGCCGACAGTTAGGGTAGGATAGTCAGCAGAAAGCCTTTCACTGGCGTTAAACTACGTATGCGCGTTACCTAGCAACAGTAAACACCGCCTCATACTGGCTGCAGTTGCGAGACTCGAACACGCGATGGCGCCATGCTCTCAGATTTGGTCATGGTGGTAACTGTAACAGTTTATATTAGACGATTTATGTAATCAAATGTATTTTATTTTGGAGAAAAAAATAACTAACTAACTACTTTTCTTTTCATTGTTATTATTTTTCTAAATCCTCAATAATTCAGTCTGTGATATCAGCAAAGAGAAGTGACACTTGCATCTGACAGGTTAAACACTATATGAAATAAAAAAATGTTTTGAATTGGTTGATTTTAAGCTGCCAATTCAAATCAAAGAAGAAATCACTAGTGATTTATTATGACATTTATTAGTTATTAATTACACATGATTAACTTGCCAGTATTGTTGCCTGTTAATTCTCTGTCAGTCTGTTTGATGAGGTCATTTCACCTCTACTCTTACCTCCTGGATACTTAGTGGCTGCGCAAACAATGAAATTTCTATGTCTGATTATGTGTAATAGAGACTCACCATGTGCGAAGGTCAGTATAATTAATCCAGTGAATACACCGGGGTCAGGCTGAAATCATCCTACTTCTGGTTTCACAATTTAAGACTGATTTGCTTATTCAAATATATATTTCTCACTTTTGTAGTACATGTTAATGTGAAATTTTTAAGATGCTTTGCTTTGGCTGGATTTTGTCAGGCTGAACTCTGCAGTCTAAATCATTAGCGTTTGCAGTGTGCAATTGCTATTCAACATCACTTTTGAATAGATCCTCCTAATGATACTGCAAAGAGATAAAACCTTCCATTTAAAAGAAACATGAGAACCCCAAAACATTTGAGTGTTACAAGGAAATGTTGCTAGAGAGCAGATGTGGCATCTTGTAATCTCATTTCTGAACTCCATTTGTGTTTGATTAGAAAATTATAGCCTAAATGAGGCAATGTTGTGAGTCTTTTCATTTGAAGCTTTACTAGCTCCGTTAGTCAAGGATTCTGAATATATTTAGTGTGGAGCACTTTGCTCTCAGAAAGTGCTGACTAATCTTACAACATATTAATTAGAACCTAAAGATAAAGAAGATACAGAAATAAATTCAGTGACACTGCTTTTTCTTAATATTCAATTAAACTAAGAGCAAACATAAATTTTTAAGAACCAACATTTTTCTTCACTATCAATCATTAATCCTCAAAGTTACAGAAAATACCTGTGACTTGATGCCTTCGGGAAAGGTGGAGGCTGATCAAAATCCTGCACATCCTTTGGCTATGAGCCAGGATGCTTCTTATGCCCTTCTTCTGATGCAAGGGCATGGGAAGTCCAGTTTACACTGGATTTCATCCCAATCACTAAACCATGCTGAAAATGTTTGCCTGTAACAAACACACCCATCAAAACGTGGAGAAAGAGCTCTGAGTGAATAGCAAAACCCATCAGTTTAGAAATATTGTTGTATTCCAAAGAAAAAAACACTATTTTTTGAATGAAAATGACATTCATTGAATCTCAAATACTGGAAATGGTTATTGACGACTGCTGGAAAATCAATGTAGGCGTACAGCGGCCCCTTTATTAGGCCTTCAAGGCTGTGTTTGCTACAAATGGAAAATTCTTCACTGAAAACGTAGAAATCAAATCTGCTAGTTGAGTGTCTGCCACCAGCCCTGGTGCTCCAGATTTAAATAAAATTCAAGAAAACTGAAGAAGGAACGTACTACTCCCTTTACAGAATGCTGCATACTAGCTCTAGGAATAGAAATGGAAGGCAAACCTGGGCAAGAAGGCAGTGTTTCTGTCTCTACTGTGATAAAACAAACACCTGACAGGTCCTCAGCTGATAACGTCATTAAATGGCATGTACAAAACACCAGTCTCGGAATCAACCAGCATGACTCCTGGATGCTGGACTTCTAAAATGCAAAGAAAAGGCCATATTTGACACTGCCTGGTTGAAGAACACAAACTCTGATGATTGTATGATGCTCACTCCTTCCACTCGGGAATAAGAACAGTTCAAGTCCAATATTATCACAGCATTCATTCCCATGATGAGTGTGCAAGTGTACATAAACTTCTGACAATAGCTGTAAACAGGATAACAGTCTATCACTGTGTTTTGCAATGCCACACTACACCCTGTGTTGCTTGACAACCGATGAGGTTTTTGTGGGAATAGTTTAAAGAAAATGCCCATCAAACACCTCCAAACTTTAGGAGGTAATCTCTAGAAAATCTCACTAAAGGTCTCTAAGCCTCTAAGTGCAAACTGGACTATTTTGTGACGAGACAAACATGAAAGTGAATCACTTACATTGCATGTCCACACTGAGAAAATATAGCCACCCCTGTTTACAGTGTGATCTTAGTTTGTACATGTTCTGTTGGTGCGACAGCTGACTGTTCAGGCATTTTGCTCGGTTCACTCACCAGGACTTTCCGAGTTACGCACACAAAGACAAACATGTTGACACGTTTTTGCCGAGCACGCACAAGCCGGCGACTGCACAAATATGTTTGTGAAGGTTTATTGGCCTTGAGCGTGACACACTAACTGGAAACAAATTTGTAAGAATGCAACTGGAATGACAAAGAAGAACAGTGACCCAGTGACAAGCGCAGTGTGTTTAAAAACCAAAAAAAAAGTGGAGTGGCATTTTTCACATTTCCTTGTACCGCCTTTGACTGTCCCTGCACTCTGTGGCGTTACAATTCACACATGAACGACCCTTTCACATTTTTTAAATAGTACTTATGGTTGTGTGATTCCTGTGAAGGCACTGATAAACTTTCAAGGCTGCTGTGGCCTACGTTGTCTGATGACTTCTTACCAATTGTCTCCTCACATTAGGATATCTTATTTAATTTCCTGTTTCATTTGAGTTCCCCTCTTCGCCTTCCTCTTCCTCCAGCTCTTTCTCCCTTCATACCGTCCCATCTGCTCATCTCTGAAGCGATCACTGTGCTTTTATGCTCTCCAGTTTCTGTCTGTGTTGATTGTGGGAACTTAACTCCGTGTGTGTACGTACGCGGACGCTTCCTCTCGCAGTAACAGACAGCTTAATAAAGGCTGAAATGTTCAGCTCTTGGTTCCGGTCTCATAATTCAATTCATGCTTTATTGGCACTGTGTGAACGATATAATAGAAACAGGTAATAACTCAAAATGTGGAATAGCAGGGCAGTAGATTTCAGCGTGGGTGGGTGACAAGTCCCCTGTGGTGTTTGTGTACGTGCGCGAGGAAGAGTGAGCAATATGTATAACGCAGGATGGGAGGGCTTGCGGTGTCAAGCCTCGTTCCCTGGCTCCTGTCACAGTGTCGGACCACGTTATCATCAAAGCAGCCACTGAGCTCCTCAGGCAGAGAACAGTCAAAGGCCAGTTTGTGAGTTTGTTC